ATTGCCATACTTGGCAGGCCAATAATGAGAGTCCCGTGGATTAACGAAGGGAGACCCAAGATGAATTATCGACAAGCAGCAGAGAGGGGAGCAAGGGCCTTCGATAGGCTGAATGATGTTCAGAAGGTCTCGTTTGAGAAGGCGCTCCAACAATATATAGAAAGAGGATTCTGCGGTATTGTGAAGGATAATAGGGTCGACCAATTTCGTATGATACCCACAGCTACCGAGTGTCAAAGGGTGTGGGAGTTGTTGGTTAAGGACAGCGTTCTGGAGGGATCAGTAGTGACGTTGCCAAGGCACTTCACACCGGCTCACCCGGTGTTTAGGGACAGCCATGTCACTACCCCCTGTCGGATAGTCCTGGACTTTAGGGAACTCAACAAGTTCTGTTTCAAGGGTGGACGGTCCCAAAACAATCTACTTGGGGCACTTCTCCATGTTAGGGGATTTCGCCATTTGATTGGGTCCGACGTATCAAAGGCTTTCTGTCAGATGGTTGCTGCTCTCCCAGATATACCGTATACCTCGTATACGTGTATAGGACCTTATACGGTTCTCTGGGAAAGGATCTCTTTCGGGAGTACTACAGCACCGAGCATGCTTGAGGCTTGCTCTTATGATATTACCGGTGAGATATCACAACTGGTAAGGTTGGTATCGATGAACTCTAAGGAATCAGTCAACGCGAACATTCTGAACGACGACTTGGTATATAAGATCCTCCTATTTCCTAGTAGGAAATTCCTACGGAGGAAGGGGTTAACTATATAAAGGATGGACCCCCAATACCTAAGAAGGTGATGTTCGAGAAGTTCGTTGACGACTTGTTCTTTGGTGGAGATACAGCAGAAGAAGCACGGTCGAGTAAGGAGTTCGTAACTCACTTCTTTAAGGGACATGGGTTGATCACTGATCCACTTAAGGATCTTACAACCTGTCATGGAGGTCGAGAGGAACTGCATGATGACGGCCATCTACTCGGCTATACTTTAGCCCTTGATAAGGATCAACTTGTGTGTATGTTCTCTGGTTACATGCCCGCTGAGCAGTGTGACAAAAGAAGGGCTTGTGCTATACTTTCTTCGCTGTATGACCCTATGGGATTGTTATTGGAAGTGGACATGGCTGGAAGGTTAATATGGCGAGATATCTGTGCTACGTGTAAGGAATGGTCAAGTATCCTAACGGTGGAATTGATTGATCGGTTGAAGCTTTGGGTACGACAAGTTGAAGAAGTGGTCGCTAATACACGCACGCAACGGTTTGTTGAGCTCGCTGAGAAGGGTATTATTGTGTCCACGGATGCTTCCAATGATGCATGGGGTGTTGATATAAGTGCACAGGTGACTACCTTCCGGTAGAGTTATGGCAAGGGGAGGATTATTTCCGG